TTACTAACAGTAATCTTGTTTGTGATAGTAGCGCTGCAATGTATGTGTATCTTTTTGTGCTCTTCGGTCCTGTTTTAACATCTGACGAAGAAAATAATACAAACTATGGTAAAAAATACTCAGGCGTAAACTTCCTCGGACAATCTGAGGAGAAGGCACTATGCTGACCTATACGTAACGTTAACGGGTAACAAACTTTATTTTACTTTTGTATGTCTGTTGCGAAGGACAAACGTGAAGGGAGAATCAATTTGATTTCTGAACGACTGGAAATATTTGTCTGTAACGATTTTTTCTGGTCTTGATAACCACTAATCTAAATCAAGAATAGAGGGGCAAAATCAGAATTTTCACTTGATTTTTATTTTTTTATTTTGTCAACGTACTGCAAAAGCACTAATAATGTAGAACGTTTAGATGCAAATCTTTGGCAAAAACGTGTTTATAAAATGATTGTTTTTGGTAAGATCAATAAAGACCACAGACAATGTTTATTCTTTGGCTTCAGAGTTTATCAAACGGCGGTCTTTAGAAAAATCCTAAAAAACATAGTTAATTAGCTATAATACTTAAAACGTTATTTCTGTGAATGCAGTGACGCAGGAAAAAAGAACAAATCTACTTTGGTACTTACCGCACTCAATAATTTTCATCTCTTGTTTCTCTTGGTAAGGAAGGCATGTGTAAACATGCAGCAAAACTCAATTACCTCAGTCTAATAATGAGATATTCAGCATTAGTAAAGAATAATACAGCATGGATATATAAACAGACACTGAATTAGAAATAAAACTCTAAAGGATAATTAAAATAGCTTTGCGGTAGAAAAACCAAAATACCAAAATGCCTGACAAAGTTAACAACAATTAACTATAGCCACGCTGTCAATCGAAACGCAACTTGAACTAGATTCCTTTTTTTCTCAGACCTTCGCAGTTGCGCTCCTTTGCTCCGCGCTCTTCGCACTTGGTTTTTAAGCGTCACAAACAATCACATTCCTCTCTCGGAGCACGACCCGTATCTTTCGCTCGGCGAAAGATACTGCTTAATCAGCGCTCAAATTGTTTGAAAGATTGCTTAAACCGCCTAGCTACGCAGGCTAAATCAGGAAGAACCTTTTGAATAGGCAGTGAATTAGCAATAAAAATAAAACTAAAATATGCATTAGCACCGACTGGACTTAGAAGATTTACTAAGCTCGTTTAACGATTGCGGAAAAAATGTACTTTCTCGGTTGTATATTCTTGTCGATTACTTTTAGTCCATTATTTACCGAGCCTCAATACTTGGAATCGGTCCATAGCGGAAGAGAAAATATGCAACTCGTCTAAGCGGACCAGATTGTTTCATGCGCACAGCTTTCCTCATTACACTCTTATTTTTTTTTTTTCTATAGGAATATATTTCCTTAGAATATTGACACTGATATTTAAGAATATTTAAGGATAAGAACCGAGGCTGAGATTTTGAAAAGAACATAATTTGGGTGTTGAAAATTTGTAACTACAATACAATTATATGTTCTTAATTACACCGTATAAATTTCTTTCTTTCTCTAAACGGCAAAACTAGCCAAAATCAAAAGAAAAACAGCACTAGCCGTATGTCCTATTCTAATAACATTTCTGCAAGAAGTTCTGTGCCGTGTTAGGCTTCACTGCCTGCGGTCTGGCTCCAAAATTACTTCTCTATTGATGCAAGAGTTGTAAGGTCACTATAATGCCATTAAATACTCAAAATTCCCTTCCTCGTTCTCTCCGCTGTTTTACGTGGAAAACAAATATAATCACGTCCCTGTTGACTCGTCATCACATGGAATAGAATAACAATTTTGCTTTGTTAGGTTTCAAATTGCTATCACCTTAGCTACTATGGTAATCGATCGACATTACGACTTGTTTCGATTTTCTCCTGCTGCCTCAGTTACACCTCAATAACACTAGTGCTAATGCCCAGAACTGTGTAAAATTGCATCACATCAACAGCGTAGTCGTCAAGTTCATTTTGGTTCTGAATAAAATTGTAAATAAACCTCCGATCAACAAACGTTTGCCCTCTTTTGAGAAAAAAATGTAGTCTTACCTTCTTACGTATTCTTAAGTGGTGATAGTTGTGAGTCCTCACCACGATAAACTATTTCCCCTGTTGCGTCGCTCTGATTGATCGCGCATGTATAAGCAGCACGCACACAGTCTCCGTGATTTGAGCATCTTTCAAACCAAGATTTCCTTTTCCAAGAATTTGTTCGTTTGTAGATAAACCTAAAAAAATATCTGACAAGCATAAATCAAAACGAACTTCCTGTTCCCATCCCTTTTCCCTCGAGACAAGAACAAATTAACAAAGTCCCGCGATTCCTGTATTGAGATACACGACTCTCATCTCTTGACACAGACTTCCCGTCCCGCGATGATCACGGAAGTAGCAGTTATTGGTTAATTTGGCAGAAAATGTCGCAGAAAAACCATTATTTACTTTACAAGACTTTTTGTCACAACTAAACAATTATACAGTCTAGAAGTGCGGTCGAGAGTTTCCGCTTGCTAAATGGAATAGATACGACTACGACTGCTCCTTATGGGTTTTTGTACGCTATCATTTTAATATTGTTACGAATTTCAGTTTTTTCTTACTTAATATAGTCGGGGTTTTCGCTCGAATTACGAAAACTGAAGTATTATTTGTGAATAAATAACTTTCCTATGTATCTCCATGTAGCTGAATTTTGAATACTAAATTAAGCAGCTTTTCGATTTCACAGGGGTTTGACAGGTATCAAATTCGCTTTTCGCCAAAGTATGCATTGAATGTATTCACTTAAGTCATTAAATTGCGCCGATTCGCGGAAACCATTTTCAAATCAATGATTATCCAATTCTCTATCACCAAGTAGAGGCAAACGTTTCTCTAGGTGAAGGATTTCAGACAAAGAAAATTTCAGCTGGTACACTATCAGCTCTCTAGCATGCGCTTGTAAGATTCACTGTCCCTAAACCGGCTTTCTACTGTGAGACTGTACGCACAGAGAAATTATTTAAAAACTCACAGCAATAACTGTTAAGGAGTTACTCAATAAACTATAAAAAGTGATCAGAGATACTGATAACTGAATGTGCAACTTTGAAACAGGCTGATTGAAAGCATTCTTGTTAACATTTTACGCCTTGTAGTTGGATGTAGATGAGATGATTAAAAACAAAATATGCATTGTAAGAACATTGAAGGTCTGTATTATCTTTCTTAATGGGAAAAAAACCCTTTCTGCAAAAAAAATTGACCCATGCTTCTTGAATGTTACCCTACACGTACATGTTCAGCTATTAAATTAAGAGATCTGACATTCTGGAGTAACGCATGAATTGACAGTCTGATGGAGAATTGGGACACAATTATATTTGCAAGTCTCTGCCCTTAGACTTCCCATTTCTTTATGAACATTTTTCACTGACTATACTCCTTTATACTCATCAGCTTTTGTCTGAATCCATGTAATGCAACAAAGGTCATTTGGTTGTGTGTTCTGAAGGCGACTGGTTTCTGCCTTGACTCTCACTCAACTCAGTCTGTATTTCTTTGCTGTAAAAGCGGAAGTAGCCTCTGCAATGTGTTCGGAAAGAAAAACGATTGCCAAGGAAGTAACTGGCCTGCTAGAATTATGCACTCTAGAAGCTATATTTTGACACTGAGACAACAACATTAGCCATGTCAACACTGAGAACAGAAACAACAGAATATAAATCATATATATAGTTTTGGTTGGGCCAGCTAAGATTTTTTTTCTTTTCCTTTTTGCTTTTCTCTTTCTACAATTTGTTGTTTGTATGTTGTCATCAGAGAATAAGAAAATAATATTATTAACTGCTTCCACTTGAAATAGAGATCTCCATCAGCAACTAAATTAAGTCCTTCAAATGGTATAAATTGTAATCGTTCGAATTTTTCTTAAAAGTAATCTCATGTTAACATTTAGTCTATCTCTGTTTCATTACAAGGCAATATTCCAATCCTAGTTTTTGCTGGGATTTACCCAGCAGTGTCATAATTATGAAGATTCAGTTGATAATAAATTTAACTTTCCCCATGCAGGATCTTGATTGTTATTGTTCACCTTAACAGGCAGATCATCTGACATGTAGCACCTAAGTTATTTTCTGCAGGGTCTTAATAAGCACTTGTAATGTCACAGTACTAAGGAACATCCTACATGAACACTGTAGTGCTATGATAAAACCAAGCTGAGATACAGAGTGATCATAGCACTATGGCTAAACTAGGCTGCATGTCAAAAGCCACAGTAGGGTTTTAAACTACTGAACTACATGTATGTAGAAATACAGCTACCAACGAAATTACCAACCAATTTAGAACCCAAAATATAGCAGTTTTTTAACATTATTTTTTGTCAATCCCTAAACCCTAAACCTAATCTGCAACTTCTTCAAAAATCCTATTTCACACACTGGGGTCAATCCTCTAACAGACAAAGTCTACTTTGGCATCTCTTAATTATTGCTTGACATCTGAAACCTGACTTAACGTTCCTTGATTAATCTTAACTTTAACTATTTTTTATAAAATGTTCTTTCATCTCAATGTGTTGCAAATTAGAAATCTCAAAGGCAGAGAAAGATTGTCCTAAATTACTTTGTAACAGATGCACCTTTTACAAGCCATCATTTAAATTAAATTACAATTTATGGCATACAAAAACAGAAGCCAAAGGATGAAATGCAAAAGAGTCAAAGACCCCATATTAAAGCAGATCACCAATTTCTCGCTAATGCATAAACTAAGATGATAATATACAATAGCTCACAACATCACTGCCTGAGTCTGCTTCTTGCCATGCCCTTTGAGAAATCTGTTTATCCATTTCAGTGATACATTGCTAATAAGTCAAGAATAATTTGTACATTGTATACACACATGCAAAACTTGAAAACAGTAATCTGCAACATGTATATCCAGGTGGCCCATGAAATCAATTTGAGTTTCCACTGATCAAAAGTATATTTTTGCAAGTTTGTTGCTCATGTTAAATTTTGTAAGCATGCATCATATCTAGACAGGCATCTCTTCTAAATTTTGCCTCCATAGTAAACTATATCATGCAAAATGTTCATAAATTCTTTCTGTCTGTCATGAATTCTTGGTTGAGCTACCAAAACTTTTTATCACGCCAACACAAGCACAGTGAAAGATGGTAACTTTGCAAAATTTGTAGCTCTCTTTGCTTTGTTGCCAATTTTTCCTGCATTATATAATTTTGCTTCCCAAGCAAAGGTCCTTAAACCTGTACAGTTTCTACAAATTACATGTATTTGAAGAAGTTAACTCTCAATAACTCACAAGCTATAATTATTTTATCACCATTGTTGCAATTAAGTTGTAATTTTTTTTAAATGTAATTTGATCCACTGAACTAAAAACACAACCTGCAAAATGTTTTAGGTAGATTTTTGTCATCCTTTTATAGTCGGGAGTTTTACGTTTTTATCAACCTGCTTGCGTGGAAGGAGTTACGTAACAGGCCATACGTACCCCACGGCTTTTGTTAAGTTACTGAGCGAACTTTTCGTTTCTCAGAAAAAATCCGAGATCTTTGCCAATACGACTAAATCTAACAACTGCAAACTCTTCAACAGAGAAATAGTTCAAATAGTTAAGTTCTAAAAATAATATTCAAAATATAATACGAGTATGGATACAAATACCAAAACTCCGATCCGTGGGGCAAATTAAGGAAACTCGTGACAGACGAAGGGCTCAAAATTATAACTCGAGTAGAATGCCTTTTAATTTTCCACATAAACCAAAAAAATGTAAGTGCAATTTCAACCGATGAAATGTGACTTAATGAAAAGGTGTTTTTGATGCTACCCTGCAAACTGAAAACAGGCAAAGCACCAAAATTCTTCCTTGGCAAAAGACAAATAGATCAATCATGTTATCTAAGTAAGCGAAGTTGTCGGTAGGTGACAAATTGTACAGCTCTAGTTCTGTCAAAAGAAAACCTTGGCCTAATTTGTTAAGCTTCTAAAATATTATTCAGTTATCAACGCTCTAGTCATGTTTCTGAAACATGCTCAGGAATACAGGTTTAAATACTTCTTGAAGGGCTGTCAAGGTAACAAATTAGAGCTGTACTGATTTTTCATTCCACTCAAATAGCATGCGTATTAGAAAATCAGCTAGGTATCAGAGATCTGACGAACACAAAATTTAGTTCGAGTTCAACAACCCGAATAAAGCGATGATCTTGAGACCCAAACGTTAGTTAGTTGAGCAGCAAATCAGCTGAATTTCGACTGAGAAAATGTATGACTAACTCCATCTGCGTAACTGAAAATAAACGGAAAAGATCTCTTCCTTATTGGCGATTTTAAGATGATTTGGATGTTGTTCGCTCCCCCAGTGAACAAAAGTTGACTCAACACTTTTACTCTAAACCACGACCGAAATTTTTAGCGGGAAATTGCAATTGAGAAAGTGAAATCAAATCGAAACAGTGATTAATATCTTTTACTGACGATAGCAAATGATCGGTTCGACTCAAACAACTTATGATTGTGTCTATAATTGATGCATCATTCAAACGACAAATGGCTGATTGTTCAATTAAATCAGTCTCAGTTTTTACTAGCCAACAAACGATCAAAAGTTAAACCAAAAAATTATCAGCAAGCTCACAATCCAAATGGAAACAGACAAATGCAAACCATCGAGATTTTGAACACCTTCGAAAAATTGTGAAGTTAGATGCCGTTTCTAACCGAAACACGACCGAAATTCAGTTAAGGCAATAAATTTTGCCTTTGCCCAAAACTGAACAAAGCCGAGACAAACAGCTCGCTAAAAGACAAATGCTCCAGACGGTGTCCCTACAATGTCAACAACCGACACATAACTGAGACTTGGTGTCTATACTTCCGCCACTGATCTATCTTTAATATTGCCCCTTCAAAAAGAAGCCGAAATGTTAAGCACCAGAATAGAAAGATCACCAAACTGTTCAGGTACACTGCCTTAGTAGATATGTAAAAGTGCACTGCTCAGTAATCTAAATCAAGAATACAGGGGCAAAATAAGAATTTTCACTTGATTTTTATTTTTTTATTTTGTCAACGAACTGAAAAAGCACTGCTAATGTAGAACGTATAGATGCAAATCTTTGGCAAAAACGCGTTTAGTAAAATAATTTTTTTTTTTTGCTTAGATCAATAAAGACCACAGACAATGTTTGTTCTTTGGCTTCAAAGTTTATCAAACGACCGTCTTTAGAAAAATCCTAAATAACTTTAGTTAATCGATTAGCTATAATACTTAAAACGGTATTTCTGTGAACGCAGCAACGCAGGAAAAAAGAACAAATCTACTTTGGTACTTACCGCACTCAATAATTTTCATCTCTTGTTTCTCTTGGTAAGGAAGGCATGTGTAAACATGCAGCAAAACTCAATTACCTCAGTCTAATAATGAGATATTCAGCATTAGTAAAGAATAATACAGCATGGATATA